TTCTATAAAATAAAAAAAAAAAAAAAAAAAAAAAAAAAATCATCACTAGAACAACTAGAAGTTGTGATGATGGGGGTTCTCTTTAATTTATGGAGAATGAAAAGAAGAGCAATCAGGTTACTCCTGACAAAAGAGCAGGGGAGTTTTGCTCTCCCTTTGCTTCTTGGCTAAGAGGGTTCTGAACATACAAAACACTCAGGATTGCAATCAATCACTGTGACAGCTGGAAGCTGGAGGGATATAAAGACACTTCTCTACTTGTAACTTACATATTTTTCTCCTCTTTTTTGTCTGTTTGATCTATGGGACTGTACCTCTTTAGGGTCAAGACAATACAGCATGTAGTTCAACAGGTTTGAACTATGTGCTCAAGCACTATCCTAACAAAAAAAAAGCTCAGACAAGATACAGTCAGTTAAATTGGGAGTGCACTAACAAATGCTCTTACAACATCTAGCCTTGAAACGAGCACAGTGCTGAGATCACAAGCAGAAACAGGGTGGGCACGTTTTGTGGACTTACCCCAAAGAGCAGAATCTGACTCATATTTAGCTCAGTACATAGGTGAATAACCAGGTGCAAGAGTAGGAAATTACAAAATAGTGGATTAAGGTTGGATATCCAACAACCTTCTTGCCAGAAAAATCTCCCATATTAGAAAATAGTTCTCAGGAGAAGTAAAGGAAGCCTTGACGTTTGACATAATTAAAAGGAAGGAGAAAACACATTACAACATATGCTGGTTGGAACAAACAGCATTGGCAGGTGGACAGACTGGATGATCTAATGAAAGGTTATTTGCCATTTTTAACTCGCATGATTCCATACAATGGGGAAAAAAAAAAAGAGGCATTATGAAAATGGTTTCTGGCTACTAGGTGGACTGGTATAACAAATTCAGGACACTTTTATGCCACAGGCTGATGAAAAGTAAGAAAAAATTACTTTCATGTAGTCATTTAAAAGACAAAGCTGCTTCTTAAGTGTCAATTGTGGTAACATTAAATAAGGAAAAACATCCACTGCAGATGCTCCAGAAAGCGTTGTCATTTTTAACAAGTACTATGACCTCTTATAACACCTCTAAGCTGATGGATCTTGTCCAGCATTTCCATTTGATGAGGAACAGTATTTACTAGCCTTATCCTTGGTGGTCTTGGTTTTGGGGGTATTTTTCCATCACAGGTATACCAACCTTATGATATTTGCAGAAACAGCAATGCAGATTCTGCCATGCCAGATCTAATACTCCTGCTATACATAAACCAGCTTGAAAATGCAAAAGTAGCAAAAATGTGTTATAATATAACCATTTCTCTATGCAAGACCTTTTGTGATCTCAAACGCCAGTAAATAAGTTGTCTTAAATCTTAGGACTGAGCAAGGCCCTTTCAGTTTACCAGACAAGGCAAATCCTTCCACTGCAGACGTACATTCACTATGAGTCTGTTGTCTTTCATCACAGACTGCAGCTTTTCTCTCAGTGTCAAAAATACCACAGCCTGTGTGGTACTACAGCCATGCCACTGGACAATCCAGGCAACTGTTTTAAAAACAGAGAATTCCGGGCTGAACAGCACATGAGAGACCTAGAAAAGTGCTGCAAATGCATTTTGATAACTCTTGGCAACCTAAATGCTTAACTGGGAACTAGGCTATAAATTATGCTGTCAACTAGTTTCAAGGGCATGCTAATGACAACCCAGTATTGCCAGGGAACAAGGGAGTTCTCATCATGTTCCATTCCTTCTGGCCCCAGAACAGAGGCAAGGAGCTGGTAGACCAAGTTGGTTTCACAGCAGATACTCATCCTCTTCCCTGAAGACATCCCCTTTGGCTAGCAGGGTTACCGTACAGCCAACTTCTGCTAGCAGGACAAAGCATCCCCAACGTGGGAAAAATTTTAATAATATGGATTTATTGAGAAAAAGATTCCATTATTTCTTTTAAAATATGCCTTCTCTTTAGTTAGTACAGAAGAACCACCAGTATTCTCTGGGTATTTACAGTAATTTCCTATTTTGTTTTCTTCTAAGGCTTCAGGAGCTATCGTTGTTACCTTCATTTGTAACCTGCTGTTATACATTGTGTGCGATATAGCCTGACAGTGTTGGGAAACACTGTGTACTAAATTCTCATCAAAAAGCAATTCACTCAATTTTAATATATGTAATGGCACTTATTATCACGACCCACCATCTAATAACTTAATAAACTACCTCTTTTCATTTAAGATTACAATCCCAATTAATTTTTTTTTTTTTTTAATTCTCTTCAATAGAAACAAAATCTGATGCAAATTTACATCACAGTCCGTACACAGAATTAAGTTACATTCTTATTGGAGCTATCTGCAAAATTTAGAAAGAATATTTAGAAAGAATGAGAAATACAACTTTAGTGAAATCTGCTTTGAGTCTTTCTCCACCACTTTCTGTTCCCACTACAGTCACAAACAAGTCAATTAACCTTCCCACACACCATTTCCCCCCACAAAAACGTGTATAGTACTGCCTGCCTGTTTTACAGGAGCACTAGGAATTTCAGACCGTGCAAAGCTCACTCTAACCCACAGGCAAACAACCTCCAGTACAAAGCTGTTATATAATTAAAGGCGTGCGATGTTAAAAGCAGTTAGCATCTAACGACAAATTTCAAAATTAGTAACAAAATGTGTACACACTCATGCAATAATGCCCTTATTTGAAAAACTTCATATCAGAAAGCTCAGGAAAAATAGATTCCAGTCTTGCAAAGAGCCCACAATTGGCTGATGATTTTAAATTCTTCCTGTGCCTGTGGGAATTCATACTGCAATGGATTTCACAGGTCCAGACCATCCGACATAGTGCACATGGTATATTCAGGTCTCATAAGCATTCATGATTTATTCACTAAAGACATGTGCTCATTTCTGTTTTCCCATTACTGAGAAAAACACCACAGGAGATAACAGACTTGGATCCACGTGAATTAGGCAGTAGCAGATAACAAGCACATGGAATAGTTATTTTCAGCAATACTTGTTAATATTCTGTCCTTTAAGCTGCATAATCAGTTTTAAGAAACCAAATGAACACACAAAACCAGACTGTGAACAAAGTCACTGTAAAACTTGCGGGTACTTTCACAAGGTCAATTCAGACAACTAGAACTGAAAAAGAAATGGAAAGCAAGACAAGGTATGAAGCAAATCGGGCCAAAAAGCCGTCCCATGTCCATGAATACCCAAAGCACAAACAAAACAGTTATGAAAATCGGGGCACATGATATTCTAATATCTCATGGGAATATTTGGGAAGAGATGGGAGAAGGGAGAAATAACGCAAGAATTCCAAATTCCCCTATATATTCAATGCTGAGCAATCTAAAAAGAAAGTGTCTTACCTCAAGTTTATACGCCCTGTCCCTGCTGAGGGGCTCCAAAGGAAAACTCAGGTTATTCGCTTCTGCCAGGGAACGCAAATCAAAGTAATACTTGGCATAAACACTAGAGGGAACATTAATATTGAACTGCAACAACTCAAGAAACTGGCGTTCCAGCTCATTCCTGTAGAAAGAAGATAAATGTGAAAACATATTTCAGACTGTGCATTCTGAATGTAATTTACTTTAAATTGCAAATGGTATAAACCAAGTTCATTTCTTATTCTTGCCAGATGCAATTATCCTAGCCTAAGGTTTGACCTGGTCTACAAAGTTCTGTCGGCATATGTATGCCAGTGAGGAATATGAAAGATGCTGCACCGTGCAGCTGCTACTGCGATGCCAATCAAACCCAGACACAAACTTTTGCTAGAGGAGGGGCACCTTTATCAGTTTAGCTAATACAATCTGGGACAGAAAAGCTAGCAGGAAAAAAATTTTCTTGTTGTTTCTGCTGTACCTCCACTAGGTGGATCTGCACACACGGCTATGCAAACACAGAACACAGACATGCCCTAAATTTGTCAGACATCCCTCATAAATGCTGCAAATTACTCTAACACCTAAATTACTGGAGAACTTATTTACTCTCTTCAGCCTTTCATAATCAACCATTTAAAACTAGTCATGGGAAACCTGAATTTTTCAGCATACTGTCTTATCTTTCTCTATGAACAGAATGAAGGAATTTTTCCCTAGGACGAGCAATCAAAAGTCACAGTGGTGATTATTTGTTTTTCAGTACCTAAAACAAATGTGTTTATCAAAATATCTGATAGGAACAGAGGTCCTCTTTGAGCTCCCACCCCATGAAACCTTTGGTATAGCAATACATTATTACCTACACCAGTACATTAAAAAGTATGTTAAGAAATAAGTAGATCAACAAAATTAAGGACTGGAAATTTTCATAAATTGCACAGTAACTAGATATCCTACATAATACTTATGCAGGGACATATGATACATTCAAAACAGTGATTTCAAGATATGAGAAATAAAAAAGATAAATGGGTGGTAAAAGCTGTACATGTTTGCCAAAGACTATACAGACTGCATAGCTGTGTTACCAGCAGGTATCGACTGACTACGATACTGCATTTAAGTTACATTTTGACTGCAGTGTACGTGTGCAAGGAATGTGCAGGCAGTGGGCAATAGAAGAGGAAGGATCTGAGTACAAAAAGTACTGGCACAGTAATTTTTCAACACTGATTTTTCTTCTTCTCAGTCTTTACTCTTACATCACTCTTACATCATAATCATTGTCTTTCCTTACCTTCATTCTCTCTGCCAAAATTCTATGTTTACATAATGATAAATATTAATTAACATTAAAAGACTCTCTAAAAGCTGGATATGGACTCTTTGGCATGAATTCACACTGTTGAAGATTCTAACTTTTAAAAGATCCCAATTAAAAGAAATACGTTTTAAGACATGTACCAATAAATACAGAAGATTGTATTTAAATGTCCTTTTATACTGCCAAGATTTTACTTTCTGCAAGCTAAGCCTAAAGGTCTATGGTAACGCATAGTAGAAAACCTATTTTAATGGAGAAAGACATTGGCTGTACCTCTTTTAAAGAGCATCCCCAAATCTTTAAGAACAATACATAGCCTCAGATTCTTACTGTCCCCCAGTTCCCAGATTTGAAGGTTAGATCAGCAGACTAACTACAGCTGAGAAAGAACAAAAAAATACAGGTATTTCGGATTTGAACTAATGTAATATGACTAACCACCACACCCTTCTTCCCGCTACATCCCCATTAGACCACTTTAGCATATGCTTTCCTGTGGCCGCTCCCCAAATTCACACAGAAACTCAAGGTAATGCTACATACATGACTGCAGACACATACTGCAGTTCCGTCCTCCCAAGTCCTCCGTTAGCTGTTAGGCACAGTTCAATGTACTGCTGGTGACTTAAAAAACTCAGAAAGGTCTGTGTGATGTTTTGCAAGATAGACTTATGCTGAATGATTCACAGCAGTCGAAGATTTTGACCCAGAGTTTTTCTGCCTTATTAATATAAACAATGAAAGCCCCCATCTTGCATACAGCTAGACACTTCAAAATCATAATACTGTACTGTCCCAACTACCTGAAAAATAAGAAAGAAAAAAAATCCACCACACTAAGGAATGGAGGAAAAAAAAATTTGGAAGAACTGGCAGCAGGAATATAAACATCAGGTCAACAAGCACCAGAATCTTTGCTGGAGGATTGACAAGGAGCCCCAAACACAAAGCCCATGAGCCAGACCACCAAATACCATACAGAGAGCACAGCCTCTCCAAAGGCTTCTGGGTTTGCAGTTTGTGAGAACCCTAACATCTTTAAGAAAAGGTTAAGAAGCTAAAAACTTTGAGGACAAGGACTCATCACAGTTTGGCTTAGGGAATGTGCAGTGCAGAAAGAGGGCCGATGTTAGCACAGGAGCATGGGTCTTCCATGTGAGTAATGGTGTTATATAGCTCAAGTGCAACTTCTAACAGTAGCACCATCACACGTGTTTGTCAAAAACAATAACCTCTTTTTTTGTTTCCTTTCACACCATCACAGTATGCCTCATCACCAGCCTTCAAAAAAAGCCCTGAGAATCAGCAATTTCAAAACTCATATTTATAACCATTCCTGATTAATACTGTCACACAGCACAGTCAAACCTGTCAGTCTGCTTCAAGCTGTTCAGCACTCTACTTCAGCTCATGTCCCAGCTTCAGAAATACTTTAAAAGCTCCCAGATTTCCCTTGGAGGAGGAGTGAATGAAGGGAGGCCCTTACTGCCACCGAATACCCGAAAGCATGAGAAAAGGATCAAGGGAAAAGTAGCTTAGCAAAATCATTCAGGAAACACTCAAAACAGTCAAGAAAGCATTATCAAATTGTTCTGCATGGAATAATGTTGCACACAGAAATGTGAAGGGCCTGATTTTAGCTTCTTGTAGCCCCTACCCCCCCCTTCATTTTGGAAATCTCATTCTGTCTGGGTTATGTCGGAAAAGAAGTATCATCAACCATCCTTTAAGTAGCTTACATATTTTAAAACAGATACTGAAATGGCATTATGTGGTATTTCCCACCTCTATTTTGAAACAAGAGTTTTCCCCAAAACTAATAAAAGTACCTACAGCATACCACAGCAGCGCAAGCTTTGTGTTTTTTACTTTGACTCGGGAAAAAAACCCACCTTATTACAAATTGCTCATTAATACAAGATTTAGAGATAACTTTTCTAATACTTGAGCAATGACAGCTACTCACAATTTATAAGTCTTATCTAGCAGTGTATGAGCATGCTTAATTTAAAGCAATCAGCTGACTCCTAACATTCAACCTTTCCCTTGCAGATCATTTTTAGACCAGCTATAAATCTGACAAACAGCGAACTACTAAGAAATGAAATTAGGGCTGCTTTAGCAAAACCGCTTGGCCTTTTACTGCTTTGAGATTGCAAACTGAGATTCAAAAAACATTCTGTCTGTATAAACATTTCTTCTCATCTACTTCCCTCCTTCCCTCTCCCCTCCTCCCAGAGTGGTTATCCACAACAAACTCTTCAGCGGCTGCGATCCTGACTTAAGTGAGTTAAAGCAGAAACGAGTCTACATTCTTCTCATTACAGACTTAGCTCTGCTTAAAAGAGCTCTGAAACACATGGATACTGTACTAAAACATCTTTTTAATAATTTTATTGTTATTAGTTCTTATAAAAAAGGGGTGCACCAGTAGACTGAAAACATCACTCTCCAAACGCACGAGCCACAATGGCCTGTCAGGGCATCCAGCCCCCCGGCACCATCCCAGCGCCAATTCCAACTGCAGCCCTTCCAGTACTGCTCTCGCACGCACGCCAGCTCAGGTAAGGGCACCTCGGGAAAGTGTGCGTGGTATGTGACTCAGCCCTGAACGTATAGATGATACAAACCCCAGGCACTTCAGCCAATATATGTAATACCTGCTAAGCAACCAAACAAAAAAAGCACTAGACTATTTAGTGAAATGAGCATTCATTTTAGTATTCGTAAACATTAGGATCTTAATTGTGTTTATTCTTATTACAGTTCTTTTTATTACTGTTGGAATATACTCTTAATATGACTTGGGAGTATCCAGCCAAATATCACAACTCCCTATGCTGTTACAATATGCACTTCTTAAGAATGCCATCAGATTAAAAAAATGGAAAAATGGAAATTTCTCTTGGCAAGTTAAAATACTAGATTTTTAACATCTTGGAAACGAACTCAGCAGGATACGGGGGCAGGGGGGGAATCCAAAAGCACTAATTTTGAATAATGGCAATAAATAAGTGGGTGATCATCTAAGGGTCATTAGGATCACAACAATTTTTTTTCCTGCCTTACATGTTGGTCTACTGTCTGTATGGAGAACTAGCATGACAGTAAATGTTGCTGAAGTGAATACATGCAAGCTCATTGGATGTGGGTTTATTTGTCAAGTCAAACATTTAAATATTCTGCAGGTCTGTTTTCATCACCACGCATGAACATCCAGGGGTAAAATAGACTTCAACCAGAAAACAAAAATAATTAATGTCTTCTAAGTAAGCAACTGTCAAGTAGACCTCATGCCATCTATCAGCATCCACCATGTTTAGATAAAACACAGATATACAAACTTTATATAATTTATGAGAGAACTTCCTGTCCCACTTATACACACAGATCTTGGCATTCATTGACAAAGATAAACATACTGCACTCACATGTCTTCGACCGTGATATCTTTCAGGATCTGGCAGTAATCCACGTTCCACACTGCCTGGTCGTCCCAAACTTTGGATGCCAGTAGAATTGCACCCAGTACAATTCGCTTCCAGTTTGCTGGACAAATATCTATCTCTGCATAAGTTAAAAGTCTTTCAAGATATACCTGTGGAAACACGTTAAAATCAAGACTTAATCATTCTGCTGTTAAGTAGAAATGAAAACTATTCTCATAAACCCATTCCAGCAATTTTAAAACAGTAATCTGCTCTCAAGAAGATTCTTTTAGAAAAGCTGTAGGTTTAAATACATACATTTATGCCAAGCTCAAGACTGAATGTGACAAACTCATATTTTAGTTGACCTTTGCCTTCTGATCATATTACCAGAAACAAAACTGTTATTTTTTCTATCTGTAACTGTTGGTAATATAGTCGCATGTTGGAATGAATTCAAATGATAGCTTAAATAAATTATTAAAATAATGTAAATAAATAAAATGCTAATTACTAATGAAGAAAGCAAGGGTATGCTACCAAAAATAATAATTACTAGCTACCATACAAACAACTATAGTTGTAATTTACGGGCAATCAGTTATCAGGTATGGCATCATGTCATGCTGGGCCCCTCTGGTGAGCCTGTGTGAAGAGGTTCTATAGGCAGGAAGGAGGATGGACGGAGGAACAGCTACCACAGAAACAGCAAGCTGAACAGAGAGGAAAGGTATGTGCTGAGAAGGTAATTCATAACACTTTCCTCTGGACCGATGAGCTCTGGAGATGAATAACATAACAGTAATCCTGTTGGACCTACAAGAACCGACAAACTCAGGACACCATAGCCTGGCCCAATCTGCCCAAGGCCACCAACACGGGCTAGCATCAACCAGAGCTCGTATAACCAGACCTCATCCAAGAGGGTGGTGGGTACTATTTACAAAGGCTACAGGATTATATACGTACATCTGATGAAACAAGGGACCCTGGAGGGACTTTCTGAACACCTACCAAAAAGCTGCTGGCGGGGGGTGCAGTGTGACCCTCTGTTTCCAAACACAGAGCTAGGCTGCCCCCCCAGCTGATGCTCCAGCCAGGGAACTATGGGTAAATACGTGAGGGATCCACGGGAGCGAATAAGTCAACATGCTGTGTGAATAGTTACCCGCTATCGATAGCAGCAGCTCAATTACATTAATAGTAACAGACTGATAAACAAAATGCGTTCTAAGAAATACTGGTTGTGGGTGATCTGTGTGCCCCCCTACTCTATCCCCTGTTAGGGACAGGGAAATTACAATTATGAATATTTACATGTGAGATAAACAAAACTGAATACATCTGCAATCCACAACATTTAAACAGTTTATGTACTAGCTGAGAAGACATATAATAAATCTGAAGTTTGACTAAGTTAATGTTTATTAACACCTAATCAAATAATACCCAAAGAATAGCTAATATATCCAAAATTCAATGTAGGATACATGCTGGTAAGGATTTGAGGGAAGGGGAAAGGGGGGACATAGGGGAAAAACTTTCAAACCCGGAACAGCTCACTGGTGATTTGCTATAGGGATGCATACTCATACAAGCACACAGAGGACCTTCGGTGATTTGTGCTTCTGGAAAGGCCTAGCATTAGTAGAATATATTACATACTTAAAAAATAAGAATTCATATATTTTGAAGCTTGTGTATTTTTATGAGTCACCAATAACATCAAGAGGGGAAAAACTTTCAAACCCGGAACAGCTCACTGGTGATTTGCTATAGGGATGCATACTCATACAAGCACACAGAGGACCTTCGGTGATTTGTGCTTCTGGAAAGGCCTAGCATTAGTAGAATATATTACATACTTAAAAAATAAGAATTCATATATTTTGAAGCTTGTGTATTTTTATGAGTCACCAATAACATCAAGGCCAAACATCCTTCGGTAGGATACATGCTGGTAAGGATTTGAGGGAAGGGGAAAGGGGGGACATAGGGGAAAAACTTTCAAACCCGGAACAGCTCACTGGTGATTTGCTATAGGGATGCATACTCATACAAGCACACAGAGGACCTTCGGTGATTTGTGCTTCTGGAAAGGCCTAGCATTAGTAGAATATATTACATACTTAAAAAATAAGAATTCATATATTTTGAAGCTTGTGTATTTTTATGAGTCACCAATAACATCAAGGCCAATTACATCCTTCGTATAGTTTTGTTCATTAATTTTCACAATTATGATATGTACAAGTAATTAGAGCTTGGCAACACGATCACTGAAAACAGTAGACAGCTGTTGTATAATTTAAAATTTTACAGAAAAAAATGTATTTTATGAAAAAAATATTAAATATCTGAATACATGTACACAGATATTCAGCCCACAAAATGAACTGTCTCACACACTCTGCAGTATAAACGGCATACTGAGCAAGAAAATCATGGGAAAAAATAAAAACACAGTATTAGACACCTTTTGTTCAAAGTGGCCACCACAAAGTAGAAGTTCTTTGCATCCTACTCTTACTGAAGGAAAATAAAACTTGAGTTACAGTGTCTGTAATGGTCACTAATACAGTCATATTACAATGAATTCATGTATAAAAAGTATAAAATTTTCTCTTCTCAACAGATCACCTCTCCCCAAGCAACAGATTTCTCAGTCCACTGTGAGGTTGTGTCAAACAGGTTTCACTGCACTCTTCTGCCAATGATTTAAGGAAAATCAGATGCAGTCATTTATTAAGTTAGTAAATTCTGCTCTGATTCAGAAACAAAATTTTTTACTGCCTTCATTAGCATCAAGGAAGTGAACTTGTTCTGCAGTTTCGTTTCTCATCCGTGGAACAACTTGCTGTGCATGAAGGAGCAGAACTTGAAACTGGAAGTGCTTCAACATGACAACACAGACACATTTACAAAACCCAACAATTAGTCCTGATATGCTACTCTATAAAAATACAGGTTTGCATTTACTGAAGAGTAACCTATTTATACCTTGTAATAGATCTTACAATACCCTCTGCACTGCATTGTGATAAAAAGCCATTAGGTGGTTATTTAGGTTGCTAGTACTCTTACAAGAGTCGACATTGACTGATGGAAACTAGCAGGAGATTTTATGAGATACTCTGTGTGTGTGTATATATATATATATCTCTGTACAATATACATGCAAAGTATTATACCTACCTGAAAGGCTGCATTTTATAAAAACAGAACACTGCTTGGGATTCTGAAGGGCCAGCGTTTTGTTTTAAATTTTAAATATCTAAAGATATTCTACAGATGCTGAAGGAAATTTGCTTCTGCTCTAACAGAAGAAATACATAGCCGCTAAGAAAACTGAAAACATTCCTTTAAGATATATGTTTTAAAATAATGTTGTTGTTTTTTACTTACCAATTTAAAACATTTTTTTAAGAGGCATTATGACTGATTTATAGATAATTACTAAAATCCACAAAACATTTAGAAGATATTTATCCCAAGTTTTGGGGATATCTGTACCTTCAAATAAATACTGGACTAACTTTAAAGAAGTAACAACAACTAACTTATAAAAGGAGCATACATACAAAATGGTAGATGCATAGAAATCTTATTTGGAAAAGCATAATGTCATTGATACTACCAATGCCAAAATAGTTTAAATGAATTTTTGAAATTATAGAATACTCAAAAAGTCTGAATAGTTACAGTATGTTGGATATTACAGACTGGTCAAATGAAAAAAAAAAAAAGTCTCAGTAAAAGACCTTTGGCTTTCTCACTCCCCAAAGGGTTCTTTCTCTATTTTTCTTGTGTTAACGTGGAATTAACCTTAACCTTGTTTTAGACACTTTCTTGAACTCAAGCTACATCATTAGGCACAAAAAGACAGGCATAATAAAACATTCAAAAATCTCTGTGAAAACAAAGTTACACTCAGTTACAAAGTCAGAATATTTACAGCATGAGACCTCACAGATAAAACTGTTGATTTTTCAGGTTTTTTCTTAAAAACTAAGAAACATATAGGTAGCAAGATATCATAAAACTAAAGCTGAATTTTTCAAGAGGCCGGATGCCAGACTCCTGAATACACCATTTCTTCTTTAGCTATGATTTGCCCCTGCCTGCCATCCTAACACTGAAGAAAACCGTAACATTATAATACTGTAAAACAAAATATCACTAATTGTTCAAAAATTTATTTTCCTTCATAAGGAAGGCAAAACGCTATTTAAGCACAAAACTACAAATTCCAAATTATGTGTCAAGCCCATTATTAAAAACAGAGTTTTGACTTCTTAGTTAGAGCATCACTCTGAAAAGATTTTGATGTATAAAATTTGGTACTGGGAGACCACAGAAACACAAAGCTCAGTAAATAGGTGGCACATTGATCTCACCAGAGTCTGCACTACCTGATGGTTCTGTTTACAAGGCTGCCTTTTGCTTTCCAGGCAGCCTGTGTAAACAAACCCCTTACACACTATATTACACAACCAACTTGTTCAACTTAGCAAGCAAAACTGCTCCTTGAATTATGAACAAACAGCATTCCCTGGAATTGTCCCCGGGAAGCAGAAGACTTCTTTAAAGCAATACACTGTGCTAATGCAGGGAGTTTCATAAGCAGAGAGCATATGGAAGCCATAATATCATGCCACTCTTAAATTAGGAAATGAACTTCATTTACTTCACATCAGTGCTGAATTTGACCCTTTACTGTTAATGCAAACCTCTTAGATTTCAACTTCCCACATGCAGTTTTAGTAGATTTTGAATGAATACTCATCATCTATAGATATACAGAGCATACAAAAATCAGAAAATAATATCCTTTCTTATGTGCGGCTCTAGCTTAGAAAGAGAGAGGAAAAAGAAAGAAAAAGTAAAAAAAAAAGAAAACCAAGTAAGGATTTTGTTGTGGGCTCAAATTCAAAGGCATTCAGAGAAGAAAAAGTAAACTGATAAGAACAGATAAGAAGGATATTGCAAGGAAAGACATAAAGGAGAATAATTCATAACAGATGAACTTACACCTTGAGCAGATGAACTTACACATAAGTAAAAAGGAAGCGTAAACTTGCTACTACCTTCCCACCAGCACATACTTGAGAAATCAGCTTTAAAAATTAAATAGGAGCTTGACAAGACACTATTCTTATACAACCTTCAT